GTTTATCGTTTCTTTCACTTATTTAAAAGCCTCTTTACCTAGAGAGACAAAGCAACACGTATGGTGCATTCGTGCCGCAGCGCACCTCAGCCCGCGTGGCAGGTCGATTGCTGTGGTATCCACTCTTCAAAGCAGTGCACACATCAAACGGTCTCACCACATCCCGGGCCCAGCGACATCCCACCAGTTCCTCTGTGCTTCATCCAGCAGCTTAATTATTGAAGATTCTTGGCTTTGAATTTTCTTTTTAATATTTCAGAGGACATACTTTGAAAATCTATATATTAAATAAATCACAAGATTAGAGTTAGAACATTTTATTACCATATTTTAAAATGCATCCATTTTTCTAAAATTGGGGATGAGGAATCGTAATAATAATGACCAAATTACCTTAAATGAGAGCTCCTATTATTTCTAATTACGATAATGAACACAAATTACATCGGATTATTAGTAAGGCTGAAATAGGCCACGGGCCCCAGAAACATGCAGCGAATCAGAGGTGAGAAGACGCGTCCATGTTTTATTCCTCTGAGACATAGACAAAATTGCCTTCTCTGTGTGGTGTCACATTCTGTCAGGACAGTGGGCGGTCCAGACGCAGGCGGTGCTTCACTGTTTACATTGATGACAAGGCCACGTGTTTGTAACGGCAGAAGACCTCACACCGTGTGGCCACCTCTGCTCCACTCTTAGCTTCTGTGTATTTCTTTCTCCTGGGTTCCTTGTGCTACTTGAGCCTGCTTAGAAGCACCTGCTACTGGCTAGCAGGTGGTGTGGTGGTGAAGGTGCTAGACTCTCATATGGTCGGCTGTGGTTCGAATCCTGAACCCCATGGTTCGGAACTCATGCGGAGCATATACGTGTAGGTGCCCAAAATCCTGAGAGGAAAATGGAGAAGGGATTGCTGCATGGCAATCCCCTGGTGGTGGGGGGGGAAATTTCTCACTTTCCCTCTCTCTGTATCTGTCTGTCTGCCTCTCTCTCATGAGGGCATGAACCCTATGGGGGGATGGCCATGCCACAATCCCTTCTCCTCCATTCTCCTATCGGGATCTTAGGCACGCACGCACACGCGCCTGGAGTGAGCTTAAGCCACCGGGTCCAGGACTTGAACCATGATCGACTACGTGGGAGTCCAGCGACATAGCCATTACGCTAACTGCTGGTCCCAAGTCCTTGATTCAACATCTTATGACGTCACATGGCATTGTGCTGGTGAGAACACACCACCTCCTTCTGTCACTGGTCCTCTCCTCTCCTCATGGATCTATAGAGTGCTGGTTATGTGTGTCTGCTTGTCCCGAAGAGATTAGCACTGTGTTCACACGATGCCGGCCCTCGTTATGGATCTAATCAAGTCACACATGGCGTGTCGGCTACTGTGGGACATTTTCTGCACAGGGAGAGGAGGCTGATCATGGCCGTGCAAATTCACACTTACAGGAAATAGCTCCTGAGGGTACTGGGGAGTTCCAGCGGATTTTCACGTGGGGTTCATTGTGGATAGTGGGTGCTGCCTTCAGTCCTTACATGTGAGCATTCCTGTCCCCACCCTGCCGCCATACGTGCAGGGAGGGAGGGATGCCGGGAGCGACGGGGACGAGTGAGCAGAACGGGGTTGCTTAACAAGGGAATAAGTAAAGCCAGTAGCTGGGAAGCCACAGAACTTCTCCGAGTAACTGCATGGAATTGCTCGGGAGTATTTTACCGCCTTACCTCTTTCCGCCTTTGACACTTTCCTACATACGCATATTAGATAGATAGATAGATGGAGGGGTGTAGATGTACAGATAGAGATGGGTGGATGGGTGGGTACATGGAGATACATAGTTTTGGGGAGGAATTTTGTTTCTTCTTGAACAGTCCTTATAGTGAGAACATTGTATCTGTAGCACAGAGAGGATCTTATATGTTTATTTTTATGAACTTAGTCTGAGAATAACTATATGGTTCTTTGTGATTGTTTATTTTCGCGTGCAAAGATGTACAGATAGAGATGGGTGGATGGGTGGGTACATGGAGATACATAGTTTTGGGGAGGAATTTTGTTTCTTCTTGAACAGTCCTTATAGTGAGAACATTGTATCTGTAGCACAGAGAGGATCTTATATGTTTATTTTTATGAACTTAGTCTGAGAATAACTATATGGTTCTTTGTGATTGTTTATTTTCGCGTGCAAATTATAAGCAGTAACGGCTGTCACAGGTATGTATAAGCACTTAAAAATCAGAAATTATTCCCTAGTTTTCATGTATGTGTTTCTCCCAGTGGATTAAGATAACCACCACTGGGCTGAGCAGGTGGCGTAATGGTTACATTACTGGACTACCGTGTAGTCGACCACAGATCGAGTCCCATACCCGGCAGCTTAAAACTCAGGCCAGGAGCTTGTGCATGCATGTTCAAAGTCCCGAGACGAGAATGAAAGAGAAGGGACTGTGGCGTGGCCTTTCCCCTGGGAGGTTGTTTCTCGCTGTCTGTCTCCGTCTCTCAGGGTCTCTTTGGTTAGTGCATGTGCCCTATAGCAAAAATCTCTCAGAAAAAAAATAACCACCGTCAACATTTAATTAAATGTTGAACATATTTTTTCTCTTATAATGTGTTGTTATTAAATCCTTACGATGTAGAAGCAAATACTGCATGCAATACTACTATGATTTACATGCCAGTTTTTTCCTGCCCATTTCTAATTTGCTGTGACAGTTTGGAGACTTTGGGACCGGCAGTGGCTTCAATGTAACCATCCATGTACATAAATGGACTTCTATGTGGGATCCTTAAGAATCTTTATAGCTAGCACTGTTGACCAAAGTTTCAAAAATGATTCTCATGGAGTTACTGATAAGTGTTCTGGTTCCCGGTTAAAGCTGTTTTGCTAAAGACGTTTAAAGTCAATGCTTAGCTTGCATCCTTTTGAAAATTCTGTTTTAATCTCAGTTGTGTGTCATGTGCTTAGTACGTTTTGGAGCATTCGGGAGCTGGCCATGGGACTTTTGGCTCTGAGTCTCGCCTTTATTCTTTCTTAGCTCTGTGGGTCTCTGCTGAAGCAGTGGTCTTATCTGCCAGGGGATTCTTAGTGCTCCTGAGGAAGATACTCATCTGGGCTTATTGTGAACTTTGCGATAGCATTTGCAAACAAACTGTTCTCCTATTTGCATTCAGTGGCTAAATCCTGTTTTTCAGGTAATTGCATATTTGATTAATTGGCTGAAAGTACCTAAATATTAATATATTACTTTCTAGAATTTCTTTTCTTTTTCTTTTTCTTTTTTTTTTTTTTGGCTAGAGGGCACATGCACTTGCCAGAAAAAAGATGCAGAGAGATAGAAGGCAAGAAATCACCTGCTGGGGGGGGTTGGCCACCCCACAATCCCTTCTCCTCCATTCTCCTCTTGGGATCTTGGGCATGCACACACACGTGTCCAGTGCAAGTTTAAGCCACTGGGTCTGGGACTTGAACCACGGTCAACTACATGGCAGTCCAGCGACACAGCCATTACGCCAACTGCTGGTCCCCCAAATTTCTTTATATTAAGGTTAAAAGACATGTCTCTAGTGTGCACTTTTTTATGACATGTTACTGAATACAAGAAACATTTTTTATGTAACAAAATTCTTTAATAGACCAGCTAAATGTTGCCCAGATCCTGCATTTTTAGCCCAGCCTACATGATTACGAGAGGACATTGGTTTTGCCGCTCAGATTCCTCGTGTGTGTCTGATGACGTGAGTGGGCATCGCGGAACTGTTTGGACGGCGAGGCCAGGGCCATCTGCTGGCGCTCTCTCCTGAGCCTGCAGTGTGCTGGGCACCGTTCTGAGCCGTGATCTCAGTCCTCACAGCATCTGTAGGAGCGAGATACTCTTATATTTGAGGAGACAGTGACTCAAGGCAGGGGACACCCCGGAAGCTCCCTGGAGCCCCTCAGACAACAAGCTGAAAAGCCCAACCCAAGCTCGCAGTCACATGCCAGCGCCGATTCCTCCCCATTTCTATCATCATAAAGCGATGTAAAGGAACAAACGGAATTTGTATTTAGAGTGCTGCCCATCCTTTGTCGGTTGTGTTGTTTTTTGCCTGCCTGCCTGCCTGCCTGCCTGCCTTCCTTCCTTCCTTCCTTCCTTCCTTCCTTTCTTTCTTTCTTGTTTGTTTAATGAGAGAGAGAGAAGTAATAATTCCAGTGTGGTTTCCCAGGCCCCAGTCCTCCTGCCCTGGCCCCAGCTAGCTAGGATCACTGTACTCGCAGTGTGGCCGGCCTGTTTAGCTGGTTGGGGAGCAGCACCCAGCCTCCATGCAGCCCCAGGCCCATGCCAGGGCACCCTCCCTCTTGTGCCACACCGGCTGGGAACCACTGGCCCTCTTTTCTTCTTAGATGTGCTGTAGGTTGCATGTGCTCACTAGAGAGCGGGGCAGAGAGAGCACCCCGTTTGGGGTGTGGTCCTGCTGCAGTCTCCTCTCTTCTGTCTCCCGTCCTATCGGGATGTGGGGAATGCACATGTGCCCAGTGTGTTGGTGAAGCTGGTGGGGCCCTGATTTGAACCATGTGGCCATGTGGGATCTGGCTTTCCTAAACACCAAGCTGCAGGATGGCCCCACTGTGTCATTTTAAAAAGTGTCATTCTGGGACCAGCAGGTGGCGAAATGGTGATATCGCTGGACTGCCATGTGGTTGACTGTGATTTGAATCCTGGACTCAGTGACTTAAACTCATGCTGGGCACATGTGTCTGTATGCCCAAAATCCTCAGAGGAGAATGAAGGAAAAGGGGTTGCAGTGTGGCCATCCCTCTCGCGGATGATCTCTTGCTTTCTGTCTCTCTGTCTCTGTCTGTCTGTGTGTCTGGCTAGCACTCATGTCCTATAGCAAAATCTCTCTCTTTAAAAAAAAAGAAAGAAGTGTCGTTCTTCTGTTCTTTAATTTCTGACGTTTAACACCAGCGATCCTGATTTTCAGACGTTTGTATCTTTTTTTAAATGTGTTGTTGTGTTTGTAGATATGCCTCTTCACGTCCGACGGAGCAGTGACCCAGCCTTGATTGGCCTCTCCACCTCTGTCAGTGACAGCAACTTCTCGTCTGAAGAGCCTTCGCGGAAAAACCCCACGCGCTGGTCAACAACAGCCGGCTTCCTCAAACAGAACCCGCCTGGCGGCCCCCAGGCCTGTGACAGGAAGGTAACTCCCTCAGTTCCTTTGCCGCAGCCCTTTGCGCCTCAAGCTTTCTTGCGGTCAGTGGTGGGAGTCCGCCATGGGGAAGACCCTCCCGCCAGGCCCCTGTGTGTATTACCGACCTGCATATCAAAGGCAGGTGACCGGATGCACAGAAACCGGATGCACAGAACGCTTGAAGATTTTGACAGAATCCATGCCGTGTATGGTGTACATTTATGCGTCCGTTTTTAATAAACAGGGTGTACATGCAATGAAAAAGGAAAACTTGTGGTCCAGCTCCATGGTTAAGGCAGCCAGATTCCACAGAATCAACTGAGCACGGTTTGAGCCCTGCACCCAGTGGTTTGACTAGTATGCTGGGAGTATGCACGTGTGCCTAAAATCCCAAAAGGAGGGAAGCGTGGAGGAGGAGAGGCTGTGGCAGGATCATTCCCACGGGGGTGCTTTTTCCCCCCTCTCCTGCCCACCCTCTCAATTTGGTGAGAGCAAGCGCCCTCCAGCACAAGAGGGGAAAGAAAACTCTGTTCATGGAATGTATGCCACATCCCTTTCCCACTTTCCTCGTCACCTCCATTTCTCTCCATAAGCAACCGCTTTGTTTGCCTTACGATGTACACATATATAAACAAATGCTTATACTGGCCCGTGACGCATATTCAAGAACTCTAGCATTATGGGCTTCTAAGGGTGAAGGCGGACTTCGTGTAATCTACCCTGACTGCCCAATCGATCATTTCGTCCGCTCTCAGTCTCTGCAAAACAGAACAGTGCTGTCTCACGTAAATAAGATCTTCTCCCTGGACCTAATTTGTTCTAGTCCTTGACCTAATTTATTTAGTCTAAATAATAAATGTTATTTTAGGCTATGCGGTTTAGTGTTATAAATCTGTTTGCTAATGCTCTCTGCCGTGGGTTCCTACTGAGCCCCTGGCGTCCCTTTTTGTCATGCCGCTAACCTCTTCCTTTTTCAGCTGTGTTTGCAGTTTTCACTGCTGGGTCTGTAGAGTAGATGCTCAGTAAACACCTGTCGAATGAATTAGTCAACATTTTCCAATGCAGCTAGTGTTTTAGCACAGCCTGTCCTGAGAATCGAGGAAATAATACCGATCACATGTTAATATCAAAATGGATACAGTTTGATATTTGCTTGATTTGTCCTTTGCATCTGTGTAAAAATGGCCTGTTTTAAATATTTCCTTTTATTTTGCATGTGAATATGCTCTTCTTTGGCCTAGTTCAAGTGAGAAAAGGAACATGGAGTACTCATTTAAATTGGGAAAAATCTGCTAGGAGAAAACAGAATGCTTTTGTTTTTGATTGTTTTGAATTAGACACTTCACTGTTAGGCGCACTCTACTGAAATATTTTGTTATTTTGTTAAATAGATTTAATGAGGAACCACATGGAAGTAACTTTTTGAAAAAGCTTGTATTTTATTCATGGTAGAGTGTGTGTGTACACGCACTGGACAGAGAACGAAGGCGTGTACAAATCCCCTCCACAGGTGCCTTCCGGCCGCAGTCTTTCTCCCTGTCCCCCAGCTGAGCAGGCCTGGGGTGTGTAGGTGCACATCACATCTGTGTGTCCAGCTGCCTGGGCTGGACCTTTGGACGCACAGTCAGCTTTGGCCTCCCTGCCCTGTGGTTCAGAACCCCACCGCCTGCACAGTGGCCGGGCCTACACTGCAGTACCTTCTCGTTAAGATTAGCTAGATGTTGGGACCAGCAGTTAGCTTAATGGCTATGTCACTGGACTCCCATGTAGTCGACCAAGGTTTGAGTCCCAGATCTGGTGGCTTAAACTCATGCTGGGCACGTGTGCATGTGTGCCCAAAATCCTGAGAGGAGAATGGAGGAGAAGGGATTGTGGCGTGCCATCCCCCCTGGGAGGATGAATTCTCGCTTTCTGTCTCTCTGTCTCTCTGTGTCTTTTTGGCTAGTGCAGCGAATCAGTATTACTGTGGCTATGAAGGGTCAGCGAGTGGAATGGAATTAAGGCACTAGATCCCACGTCATTGACCACAATTCAGGTCCCAGACCCGACACCTTGAAGATCACACTTGGCACACACGTGCGCTTGCCCAAAGTCCCAAGAGGAGATGGAAAGAGAAGGGATTGTGGCATGGCTGTCCTCCCTCCAGGACGGTTTCTCACTTTCCCTCTCTCTGTCTCTCTCTGGTGAGCCCGTGTGCCCTGTAGCAGAACCCTAAAAAAAAATTAGTGAACACACACATGGAGTTGGGATTCTGCTGTATCTGCATGTTTGCATCCTGTTTGTTTAAGAGATTTTCTCACTTGTTAGGGATTTCTCTTGGTATGAATTTCACTAGAAAATATTTGTAATCAATGTCGTGTAGTCCAGTATAGGGTATACACTATTTAGCATTCTGCCATTGGTAGACATTTGTGTGATTTCCTTTCTCTTGCACTGTTAATATCAGTGTTTTGAGACATTGTTGAATATATCATGTTTTTCTTCAGAATAGACTTAATGTACATGGATGTACTCCAGTGTATAAACCAGTCAAGGTGGCAGTTACATATTTGAGAAAATTTTTGCCTATGCAGTGTATTAGTTAGCAGTCAAATGACCATACTTTCCCTAGGACAGTCTTCAGTCTATATGTTTATATATCTAGATGAAATTATGCTCACATGTAATACGCTTAAAGAGTAATATGTAATGGATTCTCTTTTTTTTTTTGAGTTTTACAAATGATAATTTACTTTTGCTTTTAAAACACCGATTCACTAATCTTGCTGTGTACATTTTATGCTATTTTTATTTTAGTCTGAGACATGGAGATATATATACACATTATAGGTATATCTGATATGTATGTATGTAGTTTATAGATACCTTTAAACACACACGTGTGTGATTAAATGCTATCTTATTTTCTGTTTTCAAAAGTCCTCCCCTCTGTCAGTATTTAGAACGGTTGGAGGAGTGTCCCCTGCTGTCAGACACAAAGCATCACCTTCCTGACTTATGCCGAGTCCCTGAGGGTCACAGCTGGGTAATTTCAGGATGTTATACATTTTCTCTCCCTCTTTTTTATTTTTGGCAGTTTCTCACCTTTATTAACCTGGAGCTCCTTCCTGCCCACCTGAGGGGCTGGTCAGATGTTCCACACCCTTATCAGCGTATAGCGGTGTAGGTTTTCCATATAAAAACACCACTAAGTTAGTTAGGCATTTGTGGTCTTGTGATCATTGATCTCTGGCAGTTAAAATAAGCTAGCATTCTTGAATATTCACCTGCGTGGCTAAGTGGCTCATACTCTTCTTACTGATACAGGGCAAGGAAATACCTTCAGAGTAATGTTGCCAATCAATTAAATCTCTTCTTTCTGAGCAGGAAAGTTCTATTGTCTTATGATAGAAAACGATGCACCAGGTCGATCTCACTCCTGTGGGTCAAAGCTCCAGATGAACGGTGGACAGCGTGAAGGCCTTCTGCCATTCCAGGCGGGGTAGATGGTCTTTAGATGATGCTAAAGCACTGGGAGCTTGGAGGGACAGGGGTTCAGGGCCTCTGCATTTCTTCAAGTGTCCATACTGTTATTGGGAGGCAAGATATAGAGGGGAACCGCACCTTGGGTTGTTTTCAAAGTTTTTTGGGGTGCTTGTTCACCCTGAACTCGGCATTTTGTGCCCACCCTTCTGTTACAGAGAACCTTTCGTTCTCGCAGGCTGTGTGGAAAGCATCTTGCTAGCAGCTATATTCTCATCAGAGATTTTATTTGTATTTCGAGTATTTCATCGTGGAAAGGTGCATTTCAATCAGCATGAGTACGTCAATCCTTCTGCCACCTCTTGATCACCTCACTGAGTCTGTGCCTCTGTGGACGAAGAGGCCAACCAGCTCGCAGAGGGGGCTGGACCCCTCCCATCCAGAAGGACCGAGTGAGGCACTCAGCAGAGAGCCTGCCATGGGGTTCCAGACTGTGTCTGCTCCCCTGTGTGGTTCCCAGCATTTCTTCCTGCTCCTAAGTAACGAGAGGTGTGGCTTTTCCAAGTGATGCCCTCTCCTCCTGGAGTAGCACAGGCAGAACTGGCATCAAAACTATGTCCCCACTTGTTTTTGTTTGTTTGTTTGTTTGTTTTGTTTTGTTTTTGGAGAGGTTTTTACCATAGGGTGCGTGCACTCACCAGAAAGACAGAGAGAGACAGAGAGACAGAAAGCGAGAAATCACCATCA